CTCGAAGTTTGCCACCATGGGCCTCCAAAATCGGAGTAAGATGACACCTCTGAACAGTCCTCGCATAAGGTTTAATTGGGGTTTAGGGTTTAGGGTTTAGGGTTTAGGGTTTAGGGTTTAGGGTTTAGGGTTTAGGGTGGTGTCCATGATGTCCCATCACCCCCTCACGCACAACAGATGCATGATGGCGCAGGCAGATGAGAATTGCACATAGATGGGTTGCTTGTAACAATCAGCAAGTGCGTTTGAGATGCTGCTATAATTCTAGAGGGTTCAGATTCGGGTGTTTTTTGTTTTCTTTCGAGCTTGTCTGCGCCCGTGCAACTTTGCATTACTCCCTGCGAGGAAATGCGGGCAAAGCAGATGTTTGACGATAAAATATATGTCAAGATTTACGATTCATTTTACATTTTTCAGCAGACTCTTTGAGGTGGTCTCCATTTTTCACCATTTGGTGAAGGGAGGGTCAAATTCACTGCAAGCTCTTTGAGCTGATCCTTGACAGCTACATTGTTGGACACCTCCTCACATGGATGGTTTAGGGTTTAGGGTTTAGGGTTTGGGGGTTTAGGGGTTTAGGGGTTTAGGGGTTTAGGGGTTTAGGGGTTTAGGGGTTTAGGGGTTTAGGGGTTTAGGGGTTTAGGGGTTTAGGGGTTTAGGGGTTTAGGGGTTTAGGGGTTTAGGGGTTTAGGGGTTTAGGGGTTTAGGGGTTTAGGGGTTTAGGGGTTTAGGGGTTTAGGGGTTTAGGGGTTTAGGGGTTTAGGGGTTTAGGGGTTTCGGGTCTAGGGTTTAGGGTTTAGGGGTTTAGGGTTTCGGGGTATCTTAGAGTCTATGTAAACCCTGTCCGTCTGCAACAGGTCTCCAGCACTTCAGACAGCTTCTTCAATCCAAACAAGTTTTGTCAGGAGCCTTCTCTTGGGCATATACCACACAAAACGTCCCAAATATAAAGAACACCAGGAAGGCGACGTGTGACAATCCGGGACCTGCTCCGGGGCCTCCGACGGGGCAGGATTTGTAGCAATCTGAATGGCCTTTAGCACCACCTTGGTAGCCCAACAACCAAAAGATGTCAGTGTACCCTGTTTGGGGCTGGCTACTCTTTAAAAAAAGTTTAATCCCAGAACCCAAAAAACGGACAAGAGGGTACCACTCAGCCCCTAAACTCTAACCTCCCTTAAGCCCTAAGCCCCATGCCCGAAACCCTCAAACCCCTCAAACCCCAAAACCCCTCAACCCCTAAACCTCTAAACCCCTAAACCCTAAACCCTAAACCCTAAACCCTAAACCCTAAACCCCTAAACCCACCAAGCCACAGGGTGCCAGGAGGGCCAGAACCCAAAAGGCCAAAGCCATCAGGAGCGGACCGCCAACCTTTGGCAATAAGAGGCTCATTTCGATGGCACCTTCCCTTCGCATCCTTCGAGGAGCCCAGCAGCCATATTGCAATAAGGGTCTCAACTCTAAACCCTAAACCCTAAACCCTAAAGCCTAAACCCCAAACCCGAAACCCGAAACCCTAAACCCTAAATAACTTTGGGGTGCGCTACTTCTTTTTCAGGGAACCTTGAACCAAAAACAAAGGGGAAAAGTGTACCGCTAGGCTACCCAGCATCTTGCGACCCATGGCGATCCAGAAGGCGTCGGCCCACAGACACGCCGCGCTCATCACCGCGGCTTGCGCGTAGTCATCGCCCTCGGAAGCCAGCGCCATGGCAAAAACCGAGGCGCCGGCCCCGAACACGAAGAGGACCCAGGTGAGGATGCGGGGGGGATCCAGGTCGCGGCTGCCGTGCATCAGGGCTTCTCCCATGCTGGCTCCCAGGAACAGAAAGATCCCCGCCGCGAAGCCCAGCCACAACCGGGCCGTCAGCAGGAGGTGAGTCTGTGCAGTGCCAGTGATGAAGCTGTGGGCCACCGCCTGGAGAATACCTTACTGCTGGTTCGTTGGGAATCAGGGAATGAGGCAGCAGAGCTGAAAGAACTGGGAAGACCTGCATGAACCCCCCCATTCCGACGCTCATCTTTGTATAAACAACAAAAGATGCCAGCAGAGCTGAAAGAACTGGGAAGACCTGCATGAACCCCCCCATTCCGACGCTCATCTTTGTATAAGCAAAAAAAGATGCCAGCAGAGCTGAAAGAACTGGGAAGACCTGCATGAACCCCCCCATTCCGACGCTCATCTTTGTATAAGCAACAAAAGATGTACCCTAGAGAATCCCTTAAAGAGTATATGTATATATATATATATATATGCATTATGTATATATATATAGGGGGATATAGAGTACCTCATTCCCTCATTCCCTACTCACCAAGAGTAAGATACCGGAGATGAAGCTGCAGAGGAAGAAGATCGCGAGGAGCGCAGGAACCGCACGGGTCTTCCCATCCTTCCGGATGTTTCTGGCCACCGCACCCAAGTGCAAGAGCATCAGAAAGGACAGGGACCAGAAGCTGATGATGCTGCCTGCATGTTGGCCCGCATTTTCATATGGATCCAAGATCAGCGACTCACCGACGAGACAGGGCTCCATCGCAACCGGTTGAGTTTGAGGGCCCCTCGGGTTCCCCAAGTGAAAAAGAAAGATGGCCAATGGGCAACCCAGATGCGCTGCTTGTTCGTATTATTTCAGCCACATGCAGGACCATCTGAACAATAGTGTAAAATGGCCAGCAATAAGTCTGTGTGTCTGCTGTGCGAGCCGTATGCTAAATTGGACTTGTGCTTGTTGCTTGAGCCATGGACGACAGCCACTCGGCGATTTGGCAAGAGGTTCCAAAGCTACTAGCGGGTGTTCCGGATTCCGGGCGGGGTCAGATGGAATGGAGGGGGAACCTTAACGAAATGCACCCTAAATAGGGGTCATACACAGAAACTCTTTGGGGTACAAATCGTCCCCTAGGAATGACTTGGGGGTGGGGGGTGGGGGGTGTAGCGAGCAAGAGCATGAAAGCATTAAGGGTTTAGGGCTTGGGGCTTAGAGCTTCGGGTTTTGGGTTTAGAGTATAGGTTTAGGCTTAATGGCTTAGGGTTGAGAGTCTTATGTTTAGGGTGCACTTGCAGCTATATCTAAATACGCATGCAAACAACAAGTTCTTCGGAAAACGTCGACTCACCATCTCCATTGTAACGCCCTAGCAGGACATAGCTTGATTGTTGTGTGTCGTGCGGCAAAAACCCAGAAACGAAGAATGCAACTCAAGATTGTGTAGATATTGCGATGCGAACAATTTTGTCCATTGACTGTATGTTTGTCGTCAAACTCTATCAAGCTTGATGCATGAGGTCGCCCCTTGAGATCATGTATGAGAGGGTGTTGTTATGTGCTAGTTTTCTTTCCCAGGACCCTACATGCACAAACAACAGAAACCGACAGTCAGGCGGATGTTGCTATCCCTAAACCCTAAACCCTAAACCTTAAACCCTAAACCCCTATATCCACATATGCAACCGCCTCCAGGGTTTTCTTCCCCACATGAGCTCCAAGCCACGTCATGCATGAGCGGAGCTCCCGAAAAGCTAAACCCGACTGAGACTTCCCTGGGGACAAATGGAACATAGACAAAAAATATATATATATATATATATATTTGTATATATATATATATACAGTTCTCCATTTGTACTTTGACCAGATAGTCCTGTTAAGGAATATGTAGATATATAATATACATACTTATATAGATACATATAGACCATAGAAGATTTGTTGGTCTCATTTCGTCCCATGGCATGGTATATGTACCCTTAGTAATTATTCCGTCCAATATATTTGTAAACCTGGATTCAGATTGAAATCGCGAGCTCCGCGCATGGCGCCCCATAAGAAATAGGGACTGACAGACAGCCCCGGTGAATCGACGAAGGTGTCCCGAACGAACCCTAAACCCTACACCCTACACCCTAAACCCTAAACCCTAAACCCTAAACCCTAAACCCTAAACCCTAGGGACTCAAAGGGAAGCACGCTGCTGGAGAACTCTGCTTTGCGAGCGCACGGCTCGCATGCATTCAGAGCAGCTACCATCCAGCCGTCTTTCAGTTAACCTGCCAGGTCGTCCACGGATGTGACCGAGCGTATGGCAATACCCTAAATCCTAAACCCTAAACCCTAAACCCTAAACCCCAAACCCTAAACCCTAAACTCCACCAGCACATGTCGGCACGAAATCCCTGTTGGCTATGAGGCAGCTAGATGCCCAGCATTGAGGCGCAGTTGCAGTCTGCACAGTTCAAAGTCCGTCGATTGGGTTTAGGGTTTAGGGTTTAAAGGTTTAAAGGTTTAAGATTAAAGGCTTTAGGGTTTAGGGTTTAGGGTTTAGGGCCATGTCGCTGTAAGCCTTGCACCTCGAACATCAGCCGACCACCCTGGACAAAGACCCGGGCAGAGCAACCCTAAACCCTAAACCCTAAACCCTAAACCCTAAACCCTAAACCCTAAAGCGCCTGAGGTCTGCGGGTCGCACCCGGTGTAGGCTGGCTCTGCTCTCGCTCTCACGGCCTGGGGCGCGCAGGCTGTGGACATTGAATTGGTTTAGGGTTTAGGGTTTAGGGTTTAGGGTTTAGGATTTAGGGTTTAGGGTTTAGGGTTTAGGGTTTAGGGTTTAGGGTTTTGGGGTTTAGGGTTTAGGGTTAGGGTTTAGGGTTTAGGGTTTAGGGCTTAGGGCTTAGGGTTAGAGTTGAGGGTTTGTAGGGTATGAAGAAAAGGGGCCTTGTTCTGATCGCTGCGAATACTACTCCTGCATTCCCTGGCCGACTCGATTTTCTTTTCTAACCCTCAACCCTAAACCCTAATTAAACCCTAAACCCAAAAAAACCTAAACCCTAAACCCTAAATCCTAAACCCTAAAGTCTGAACCCTAAACCCTTTGGCGAGCTTCGCTTTCCGTGTCCCCAGCAAGTGCTGTCCGTCGACTGCTTTTACATTAGGGTTTAGGGTTTAGGGTTTAGGGTTTAGGGTTTAGGGTTTAGGGTTTGCCCAGCCTCTCCTTCATCTGGTGGAGGTACCAGAGCGGAGGGTTGAGGGTCTAGGGTTTAGGATTTAGGGTCTAGGGTTGAGGGTCTAGGGTTTAGTTTTAGGGTTTGGGTTTGGGGGACATGCAACTGCTTTTGTCAGGTAAACCGCAGCAACATCAGCATATCACCGACAGCCCATCAAGAACCCCTTGGGCCACGGCGGAGCTGGCAAAGCCTGCGTCGCTTGAGCGATTGAGGCACGGCGCCCTCCTCGCCGCTGCCTCCTGTGAATGGTAGTAAGGGACGAGGCTGGACTTTAGGTTTAGGGTTTAGGGTTTAGGGTTTAGGGTTTAGGGTTTAGGGTTTAGGGTTTAGGGTTTAGGGTTTAGGGTTTAGGGTTTAGGGTTTAGGGTGCGGAAGTTTACGAGAATAGGGGACCCCTCAAGTAAACCCCCCACATGGTAGGATGCTCTTACAATAAGGCTCCAAGTAAGGTACCCCTTTTTTCGGAAACCCTAAACCCTAAACCCTAAACGCAAAACCCTACAGTAAACCCTAAACCCTAAACCCTAAACCCTAAACCCTAAACCCTAAACCCTAAACCCTAAACCCTAAACCCTAAACCCTAAACCCTAAACCCTAAACCCTAACCCTAAACCAGCAAGGGGCGCTTGAGGATGCAGCTTTGGGGTTTTTGACTCCGGCCGGCCTGCAAAGGTAGATCCAGAGATCCAAGCTGTTGGCACCTCAAGAGCCCAAAGATCTTTTGACTTGGGGTTTAGGGTGTAGGGTTTAGGGTTTAGGGTTTAGGATTTAGGGTTTAGGGTTTAGGGTTTCGGGTTTAAGGTTGAGGGTTTAGGGTTGAGGGTTTAGGGCAGCCCCAAGATCGACATGCCTTGAACACAAGCAGAGTCGCTCTCACCCACTTCACTTCTCCGATCCCACCTTTTTTGCTTTCGCGACTGAAAACAAGACTGCACATCAGGGAGACCCCTAACCCCTAAACCCTAAACCTTAAACCCTAAACCCTAAACCCCAAACCCCAAACCCTGACCGCTCACGCCTGTGTTGGGAGCGCCAACCAGTGACTTGATGCATGCCTGAGCGCGTCAGGCATAGCACATGTCAGCCGGTAGCGGTTTGGGGTATGTTTAGGGTTTAGGGTTTAGGGTTTAGGGCTTAGGGTGGGGGTTTCCGAAATTAGGGGTACCTTATTGGGCTCCTTTTGATAGGGGAATCCTACTATTTGGGGCTCTATATTAGGGGTCCCTCATTTTCGTAAACAGCCATATAGAGAGTTCTTTGCAAGTTTTAGAGTTCTTTTGCAAGTTTCAGCAAAGTCCTTCTGAGATGAAGGGGCCCAGTCCTGGATAGGTTTTGACAGCATTTATGTCCTAAACCCTAAACCCTAAACCCTACACCCTAAACTGTCCTGCTACAGAATGCCAGGTCGCCACGAATGCGTCCAGGTCCTGTATGGTTTGCTTCGTCTCACCTGAGCAGGGTGGATCTGAATTCGAGGCAACTGCTTGGTTGAGGGTTTCGGCTCTTCTTTATTTTGTCTTTCCTGGTAAGCAGTATATAGGGCTGAGATGCAGTTTCCGGTTATTGCGGTGCTAGGATAAGAGTTTCTCACTCGGAGTCTCAGAAAAAAAGTACACGTCCAAACCCTAAACCCTAAACCCTTTTTAGCTTTCGGGAACGAACGAAGCCGCCAACCTCGAGACTCTAGAACTTCGTCTTACCTGGGCAGCGGATGCTTCCGGACTCCAGCACTTTGCCCCAAAAGCCAGCGAGAAGTGGCCCAGCATAAGGAAAGTTAGTTGAACACATGACATGGGATGCCCCGTACATAGCCCCCGTTAACAAAAAAAAGTAACCTGGTGCCCAACACCCGAAACCCCAAGCCCCTAAATCCCTAAACCTCCTAAATCCCCGAAATCCCCAAACCCCCAGACCCCTTATCCCCTAAACCCCTAAACCCCTTAACCCTAAACCCCCTAGCCCTAAACCCTAGCCCTAAACCCTAAACCCCTAAACCCCTGCGCGCCTCGCCGGAGTGCCGTGACTGCCCAGACGTTCTGGGTGGGATCCAGCGGCACTCCACAGAAGGCCACGCGCCCACCCTCCTGTGTTTCAATCAAAACAGGCGCAAGGAATCAGGGTTTAGGGTTTAGGGTTTAGGGTTTAGGGTCTAGGGTTTAGGGTTTAGGGTTTAGGGTTTAGGGTTTAGGGTTTAGGGTTTAGGGTTTAGGGCTACTTCGATGGTTCTGGGATGCAGCTCAGCAGCTCAGAAGACAACCCTACACCCTAAACCCTAAACCCTAAACCGTAAACCCTGAACCCTAAACCCTAAACCCTAAACCCTAAACCCCAACCCCCCCACCTTCCCAAACTGTCCTTGACGGTCAGCAGCTGGAGGGAGCTATCCAGGGTCATGCCCAAGACGTCAGCAATCTGGTCCTACCCAAACTTCTGGGAGGATCCGAAAAGTTGAACTCCCAAATCGTGCCCTAAACCCTAAACCCTAAACCCTAAAATGCTTTCGGGTCATTTTGAGGAACCATGAAGGGGATCTACTATTTAGATCCTCCCAGGGGTCTGGGTAGTGGCGATCCCTCAACTACTCTGAGTGGAGGAACTCACAGCAACAGTCGACGGATCTGGGCAGCGACATGAGCAAGTCCCAAAACCAGGAAACTCCCTGAATATACCCTAAACACTAAACCCTAAATACTGTGATCCAACAGGCTGCTGCTTCTTGTGAAACCCCAATCTTTGCATTTCCGGGATGCACCTCGCCTTCTCCACATCTGGCGCAGCGCACGCGGCCAGCTGATCTATGGGCACACGCACCACGACGGAACCTCAGGAAAACGAACTGAGGCCTAAAGTTAGGTCGTAATGTGCCCTATCCTACCCCAAACCCCAAACCCTAAACCCTACGCCCTAAACGATTCCCATAAGTTTACTGGATATCTGGGCCAGAAGCCGTTTAACAATCACTCGATCCCATGGAACCTGGCAATGCAGGGTTCGGAAACTGAGGATCCTGAAGGACCAACCATATCTACATCTATATATCTGTATATATATATATATAGTTGTGTTATAGTGGTAATCTACCCTTAGGGTTAGGGTTTAGGGTTTAGGGCTAGGGCTTAGGGTTTGGGGTGTGGGGTTTAGGCTTTAAAGGTTAGGTACTTCAACTGCCCGAAGCGCTACAAAACCTAACCCTACCCCCTTAACCCTCAAGCCTACACCGATCCCCTAGGATGGCACCACAGGCTCATGTCAGGGATGATATATCCCTAAACCCTAAACACTAAGCCCTAAACCCTAAACCCTAAACCCTAAACTCTAAACCCTAAACCCTCAACCCTCAGCCCTCATTAAGCCCTAAACCCTAAACCCGAGTCATATCACCGCCAATTCGTACTTCTGAGGCGCCTCTGTCGAACTCAAGTTTCGCCTCTTCCTTAAGACAAGAAAGAGGCTCCGTAGAGTTTAGGGTTTAGGGTTTAGGGTTTAGGGTTTCGGGTTTCGGGTTCGGGGTTTGGGGTCTAGGGTTTGGGGTTTAGGGTTTAGGGTTTCGGATTTAGGGATTTGGGCGCATGTCGAAGAAGGCTCTATCCATATTGCACTGCTCAAAAACCCTGATATGAACCCTCTGCGCCATATGAAAAGCCCTACCAGAAAAAAAAAAAAAAAAAACTAAACCCACAACCATAAACCCTAAACCCAACACCCAAAACCCAAAACCCTAAACGCCCTACACCCGACATGCCATAAGGCTCGCCATGTCTCCAAAGCCTGGCCGTGGGTCCTGCCCTCCGACTTCAGCTCGGCCATACGGAGGCGCATCCAGGCCTGGTGTTTCGAGGTTTAGGGTTTTGGGTTTAGGGTTTAGGGTTTGGGGGGTTTGGGGGGTTTGGGGGGTTTTGGGGGTTTGGGGGGTTTGGGGGGTTTGGGGGGTTTGGGGGGGGTTTGGGGGGTTTGGGGGGTTTGGGGGGGTTTGGGGGTTTGGGGGTTTGGGGGGTTTGGGGGGTTTTTGGGGGGTTTGTTGGGGGTTGGGGGTTTGGGGGGTTTGGGGGTTTGGGGGTTTGGGGGTTTGGGGGGTTTGGGGGGTTTGGGGGTTTGGGGGTTTGGGGGTTTAGGGTTTGGGGTTTAGGGTTTAGGGTGTGGGGGCTAGGGCTTGGGGCTTAGGCGGGGTTTAGGGCCTAGCGCCGGACCCTTCTCAAACAGCGCTTTGGGGAGTTGAGGTGTCTGGAGCGTTCGTTGCTACAGTCGCTGGAGCGGCTAAAACCAGCTAAGCGCACATACCCTAAACCCTAAGCCCCAAACCCTAAACCCTAAACCCTAAACCCTAAACCCTAAACCCTAAACCCTAACACCCTAACACCCTAACACCCTAACACCCAAAACCCTAACACCCTACACCCTACACCCTACACCCTAAACCCTAAACCCTAAACCCTGGGTTGGTCTGCGAGGTGCCAAGGCCGGCGGGCAAAACTGCCGCAACGGGCTCAAACCCAAAAAATTGGGATCCTATAGATTAGGTTTGGGGTGTAGGGTTTAGGGTTTAGGGTTTAGGGTTTAGGGTTTGGGGTTTAGGGTTTAGGGTTTAGGGTTTAGGGTTTAGGGTTTAGGGTTTAGGGTTTAGCTCCTCCACAAATCCCCATTTGGATATGTGAGGCAAACTTAAACATTGGGATCCTAGGAAAACTCATCCAAAGTATCCCTTTTAGGATAAATGAGCCATAGACAAACCTTCTACTTCGAGGTTCGGCCACGACTGGGACATTTCATTGAGGGTATCGCTTTTGGGGTTAGGTATCGCTTTCTGAATCAAAACGATGATACTCGGGGGTGTCTTGGGGTTAGGTCTCGCTTCCACAGCAAAATGCTAATGTCCCGCCCAAAGCTGCCTAGAGAGGCGCGGGATAGCCAGTCGCGCAACTGTTCTTATAACCCACTTATGGGCCCCTTAAGTGCCCCAATATGGCTACAAGTACAGGTAGAAGTACAGTTGTACTGTGAACCCTAAACCCCAAACCCCAAACCCCAAACCCTAGAAGACTTAACCCTAAACCCTAAACCCCAAACCCCAAACCCCAAACCCTAAACCCTAAACCCTAAACCCTAAACCCCAAACCCTTAAAGTAGGGTTCCTTTCGTCCCTAAAGGTAGGGCTGAGGCCAGGCCTGGTACTGCTCGGACCTCTCCCACTTGGACTCTCGAGGTGCAACGTGGCCCACAAACTGGTGGGAATAGCCTTGGCTTCTCTTTTTTGGGGTGGGTTTAGGGTTTAGGGTTTAGGGTTTAGGGTTTAGGGTTTAGGGTTTAGGGTTTAGTTGAGGGTGCGAGCGCAGGGGTCTGGAAATTATGCAGAAGCTCCCATAGCTGCACATGGGATCCACACAAGTCTTCCGGAATCAACTCAGCTCACTCCACTTGGAACCCTAAACCCTCAACCCTCAACCCTACTTCATGCACCTCATGTTCGCCCAAGGTTCAGATGCGGTCTTTGCGCTCGACTGCCATAAATCTCTTCCCCAAGAGAACCTGACAGATGTCTTGAAGCTCCCTCAGGCCCTAGAAGCCCCAAATCCCCTAGACCCCAAACCCGGAAGAAACACCCAACCACCCGAGGCAATACCCACCAAAACCCCCCCCCTCCGAGCCCTAAACCCTAAAAACCCTAAACTCTGAACCCTAAACCCTAAACCCTAAACCCTAAACCCTAAACCCTAAACCCTGAACCCTGAACCCTAAACCCTAAACCCTGAACCCCTAAACCCCTCAACCCTAAAACCACAACTTTCAAGGCCCTGCAAAGGAAGCCCCGGCCTCCAGTTCAGGGAGGATCTGTAGTCGTACCTGGCAGAGTGAACTTCTCGAACTTGGTGCTTGTGCGCATAGGGTTTAGGGTTTAGGGTTTAGGGTTTAGGGTTTAGGGTTTAGGGTTTAGGTTTAGGGTTTAGGGTTTAGGGTTTAGGGTGGGTGTAGGGCCGAAACACAGGTGGAGGCCCCAATTTTTCGAACTCTCCGGGGGGTTCGCCGAACTTCGTCGGAAGTCGCCTCGGAGATGTTGGGCCGCATGATGCCATCAGCCGCTGACCTTGGGTTTGGCCAGGGTTTAGGGTTCAGGGTTCAGGGTTTAGGGTTTAGGGTTTAGGGTTTAGGGTTTAGGGTTTAGGGTTTAGGGTCTCGGGTTTAGGGTCTCGGGTTTAGGGTTTAGGGTTTAGGGTTTGGGCTTTAGGGTTTTCGGGTTTCGGGTTTAGGGATTAGGGCTTTCGGGTGTCGGGTTTCGGGTTTCGGGTGGATGCTAGCGTCTGTTGGAACACCTGTGTAGAATACGCAGTGATGATCATGGTAAGATGTATGTAAATCGGAGTGCTCGTAAGATGCTTGTTGTCCAAATTGGTTGTCAGGACCTACTATGTACAGCGTGTCAAGTGGCACTTTCCCGATTGTGGGATCTTATATAGGGGACTCGGTTTAGGGTTTAAAGGGTTGGGGATTGCGGGGGATTCGGCGGTTGCCAGCTGTCACCTACTCGGATTCGAGAGCATCTCACGCTGCTCGGCTTCCAAGACCACGTGTAGGTTTTCCTAAACCCTAAACCCTAAACCCTAAACCCTAAACCCTAAACCCTAAACCCTGAACCCTGAACCCTGAACCCTAAACCCTGAACCCTAAACCCTAAACCCTAAACCCTAAACCCTAAACCCTAAACCCTAAACCCTTTCCCCAACATGCTGGCCACGGCAAGGGATCATCGACGCACACGCAGCCTAAATAACAGGTCCTCCATTGGCAAGAAGACCCAAAGCTACTAGGATGTGCGGGCTGAAGTCGGATGGAACGGAAATGGGAAACTGCTTAGGACTGTGAAACCTGAAGCCGTTTAGGGTTTAGGGTTTAGGGTTTCGGGGTTTGCGTCTGGCAAGTTCTGATTGAATGATGGTCAAGGGCATGGGATGGCCTGGCAGAAAGCAAGGGGGGGTTTAGGGTTTAGGGTTTAGGGTTTAGGGTTAAGGTTTAGGGGTTTAGCGTTTGGCGTCTGGGTGTGATTCTGAACCTCGAACGCGACATCCCACCACGGCATGGAGACAGGATGCACCGCAAGCCTAGGAAATCAAACTAAACCCTACAACCCTAAACCCTAAACCCTAAACCCTAAACCCTAAACCCTAAACCCTAAACCCTAAACCCTAAACCCTAAACCCTAAACCCTAAACCCTAAAGCCCCTGGCTGCCCAGGTGGCTTCTGTGCCTGGACCAGTTCCTGACAGAGGCGGCGGACCTCCATACTCGGGCATGCAATTCTTTGACAGACCTAAGCCCTGTAGAGAATGAATAATAGGGTTTAGGGTTTAGGGTTTAGGGTTTAGGGTTTAGGGTTTAGGGTTTAGGGTTTTGGGTTTAGGGAACAGGGTTTGGGGGGTTATTCTAGAATATTTATTAAGGGACCCATCAGGGAATACCAGTAGAACTTATTCCGATCCCGATTAGGGCTTTGGAAGCCTGGCCGCCGCAATGAGTAGGCTCAGTGAAGCATCTTAATTCGCCAGTGACAGGACACTTGGGGAAGAGAAACCCTAAACCCTGAACCCTAAACCCAAAAACCCTAAACAGCCCTAAACCCCAAACCCCAAACCCAAAACCCTAAACCCTACGCCAGCTTCAACCGCTCCATCGAAGTGTTTTGGCGCCTGGCAGATCTCATCGTCCAGTGTCGCGTTGCACGCCAGCCGTGTTTGCCTCATCGTCATTGAGCCGGCAGACGGCTTTTTAACTATACTATCCTACTCCCTAGACCCTAAGCCACCTGTATATATATATATATATGCATACATATGTAAGTGTATATACCTACCCTGAACCCTGCACTCATGGTGTCATAAACTAGGCTTCTCAGGAAGAGCATCCTCCCTCTCTCATTCCGGACATGCTCAGCAACCTCCCATCAAGAGCTACAGACAGAAAAAAAGGGTTCGAAGAAGTCGGGTTGGGGTCGAGGGTTTAGGTTTAGGGTTTAGGGTTTAGGGTTTAGGGTTTAAGGTTTAGGGTTTAGGGTTACAAGCAATCCATAGATGTCATGTGACCATCTGATGCCGCATGCACAGTGATCTCTCTTGCAGGCAGAGGAGCAGAAGGAGGAGGTCTTTGGCAGCCTCCTCCTGTGTGGGTTTAGGGTTCAGGGTTTAGGGTTTAGGGCTTTAGGGTGCAGACTGCGCAAAGTAGCAGGTGTCTCGCCCTCTGTCCACACTCCAGCTAAATGATGTGCATGCGCCGGCGACGTGTTCATGAGCAGCTGGTCAGCGGAATGGCACAGATGTTATGGCTATATGCAGCCCTTTTTGCAGCATACCAACAAGACAAGAGCTTGCAAAGCTAGCTTTGCCGCCCTAAACTGCTCTGAGCTCGACATCGACTTCAAAGAGGCACTGGCCTACGCAAGGCATGCAAACCTGCAGTGCTCCAGTTGAGAGCTTTCGAACTGAATTGAGACTTTGTGAGGCGCCTGAAAAGACACCTTGAAATTTAGCAGCTGGACAAAACTGAGTCTGAGACACTTGCGCATTGAAACATTGAAGCTTTCAAGACAAAAGTGAATACAAACACAGAGCACTTTGGACGTCAAACATGCAACACTGAGAACAGGACACATGTTGGACAAACATCAGTTCAAGATCTCAGACGAACCTGCAATAGCAAGCATGATGCAAATGTGCAGTCAGCAATGATACATGAACGAAACGAACAGAAGCTCATTTGCTTGCGCGCACGTGCAGGCACGCGCGCGTATGACCCAACTCAAACCCCCGCCCCCCACCCGCCAAATCGACAACTGCACCCGTGAATCGAATCTACTGGCGACTGTTCAGGATTTTGTGCATTTGCTTTCTGGAGCAATCGCATGCTTCATCCACTTCCGTAATTATCCCCAGCAAAGCTTGGGCGGGTTTTTCAGGCATTTGAGTTGCCTGAGGGCATCATGGTGTGGTTTTCTACAGAGAAAGGCCTTTAGGTGTTTAGGGGTTTAGGGTTTAGGGTTTAGGGTTTAGGAAGGATGAATGTGTAAGGAGTTCACTAGCCGTCGGGTGGTTGCCATGGTTGCTTCACGGCTTTCTCGGCACATCCCTTGAAATGTTCCCCCTTCTACTCACAGCCCTTAATTGGAATCATAATAGGGGGTACTATGATCCCTATGAAAGACTGCTAGTACCAGGGGGAACATCCCAACCCTAAACCCTAAACCCCAAACCCTAACCCCTAACCCCTAACCCCTAACCCCTAAACCCTAAACCCTAAACCCTAAACCCTAAATCCTAAACCCTAAACCCTAAATCTTAACCCTAAACCCTAAACCCTAAACCCTAAACCCTAAACCCTAAACCCTAAACCCTAAACCCTAAACCCTAAACCCTAAACCCTAAACCCTAAATCTTATTTTGGGATCCCTGAACTGCGACTGCGAACCCCCGGTGACCAAGCCTGAGAAGACCTTTGCGGCGTGCGAGGCTGCCTGCCAATCCTCAGCATTTAGGGTTTAGGGTTTAGGGTTTAGGGTTTAGGGTTTAGGGTTTAGGGTTTAGGGTTTAGGGTTTAGGGTTTAGGGTTTAGGGTTTAGGGTTTAGGGTTTAGGGTTTAGGGTTTAGGGGCCAATCCTCAGCATCCAGGGAGACACTTTCGTGTTGGAATTTGGGGCTTAGGGTTTGAGGCTTTGGGGGGTTAAGGTTTAGTTTAGAGTTTGGGGTTTGGAGTTTAGGGCTTCGGGCTCCGGATAAAGGATCATTCTTCTTTGTGTTCGAGCTTGTTGCTTGGGGTTTTAGGGTTTGGGGGGTTTAGGGTTTGGGGTTTCGGGCCCCGGATAAAGATCACAATAATGCTTACAGCAAGTGGCCCTGAAATATCTGTAGTGGCTAGCGCTCCTCAATCCAACAAACCCTCAACCCAAAAACTTAGGGTTTAGGGTTTAGGGCTTAGGGCTTAGGCTACACAATTCAAGGTGAGCTGCGGGCACAGGCCGGCGGACTCAATGTGCGCCCAAGTCCTGTTAAGGGTTAAGGGTTAAGGGTTAAGGGTTAAGGGTTAAGGGTTAAGGGTTAAGGGTTAAGGGTTAAGGGTTAAGGGTTTAGGGTTTAGGGTTTAGGGTTTAGGGTTTAGGGTTTACAGATTAGGGTTTAGGGTTTAGGGTTTAGGGTTTGCTCCCCAGGGAAAACGTCAACGGGAGGGCATGGCATGTTAGAGCTGAAGGGTTCTGCGCCTAAACCCCACCTGAACCCTAAGCCCAAAACCCCAAACCCTTGCAATGCTGAAGACATGAGTTCGGGACTGGAGCCCGGCCAAGCCAAAGCCGTACATTGAGCCCTAGTAAACCCCATGAAGACCGATAACAAGCCGTGTTAAGCCCTAAACCCAGTTTGCAAATCCACATCTCCTCAGCAGTTTGGAAAGTTGCTGGACTGTTTTGACCGGCTCGCCATTCATCTCAGCCTCAGCAAAGAAATAGGGTTTAGGGTATAGGGCAGACTCTTAAACCATTAGGCTGAGTACTTCTTACTATAACTACTTTGATCCGTATGATTTAAGATGATGAACATGACGAGCATGGAGTGTGACTGGTATGTTTTGAGTGACTCTTAGGAGTGTTGTGGTTGCCATTCATGCTTGATGATGAACTTATGACTTTTCGTATGATTGTTCTGATGCCCTAAACCCTAAATCCTTAACCCTAAACCCTAAACCCATCGGTCTCTAAGGCGGCGGCAAGTGCCCAGCCGCGCTCGAGCATGACACCTGCCGTTGTGCGGGCAACATGGGCCGGTAATAGACCACTTCTGCCCAGAGCCTGAAAGGGGCTGCTATTTGCTTAAGAACCCCCCCCCCAAAAAAAAAATCCTTTAAGGGCAATATAGGGATTGTGTTTCTTTTAAAGTTGTTTGGGGGGGTTCTTAAGCAAATAGTAGCTGAAGATTCGGAAGATGGACTTCATCTGTTCGAGGCTAGGCTCAGGCGCGGCCAAGTAAACAACCTGCACAGCAAAACCTCTCAGAACTCGGTTTATGGGTTAGGGTTTAGGGTTTAGGGTTTAGGGTTTAGGGTTTATGGTTTATGGCTTAGGGACTTCTACCCCCTGGCTCTTCGTAGGGAATGAGGAAATTCGGGCCCTATATCTACCCTGTAAGGGAGTATGGAGGGTATTCTCATTCCCTCATTCCCTGCTAAGAACCAGCCAGGCTTCTTGCAAAACCCTAAGCCCTAAACCCTAAACCCTAAACCCTAAACCCTAAACCCTAAACCCTAAACCCTAAACCCTAAACCCTAAAGGGCCTTCTGGAAGAAGGAAGCCAGGCACAACGGACTTCAGCACGAGCCGGCCGAGGCGGCCCTGGGCGAAGCGCACGCTGCGACGCGATTCTCCGAACTCCGAACTGGCTCTGTCCCAACATGGGTTTGGGGTTTAGGGTTTAGGGTTTAGGGTTTGGGGTTTGGGGTTTAGGGTTTAGGGTTTAGGGTTAGGGTTTAGGGTTTAGGGTTTAGGGGTAGGGACACACGTTGTGTCCCTCAAAATGCTAGGAGTTCCCCCCATGATAGAATCCCCACAAGAAAGAGTGCCCAGAATGTGTGCAAGACTACCACCTGGCCTCCAGCCGGAACGGGAGTTGGTCCCTCAAGGAGGTTTTGCTGCGCCTCATCGGAGGTAGGGTTGTGGGTTTAAAGGGTCAAGGCTGCTTCAAGGTTCCGGGCTTAGGGTGCAGCATTGGTCTGCTGCCGAAAACCATGCAAATGCTGGAAAACCCTAAACCCTAAACCCTAAGCCCTAAACCCTAAACCCTAAATCGTAAACCCTAAACCCTAAACCCTACGATGTCATCGAGCGAAACCCTAAACCCTAAACCCAAGAAAACGAACACCTGCCTCAACAACTCCTGGTTCAGAGTGATCATACGCGTGGGCCATCGGACCTCACCGGCGAAGGCAGCGAGGGTTGAGACTAGGGTTTAGGGTTTAGGGTTCAGGGTTTAGGGTTGAGACCATAGGGGGTTGATTGATTCTACGAAGGGTTTTTCTACAGAGCTTCAGTGTTTTCCTGAAACCCTAAACCCTAAACCCTGAACCCCAAACCCTAAACCCACAAGGGGTTTTGTAGGATGTTGAGGGGTTTCCTATGTGGAATGTGGCTTTCCGCGAAGAATGCCTGCAATACAGTAGCTGGCATGAATGCCATGGGACTCACCTGCCATTCCCGGCCAGAGTCCGAACTCCTTTCATGACTTGGTCCGGTAACCATCTTATAATATGGGTTTAGGGTTTAGGGTTAGGGTTCAGCAGCTCCGGATCGAGCAGATTTACGGCTCGGATATAACACCCACCCACCCAGAGAATCCCATAACATTAAGAAACTATAAAGTATCTTCATACAAAAGTTGGGGTGGGAACGTGCCTTGCCCACGAATTTTTGTGCATTGCCCACGAATTTTTGTGCCCTGCCCACGAATTTTTGTGCCTTGCCCACGAATTTTTGTGCCTTGCCCACCAATTTTTGTGCCTTGCCCACGAATTTCGGTGCCTTGCCCACGAATTTTGGTGCCTTGCCCACGAGTTTTTGGTGCCTTGCCACCAATTTGTGTGCCCGAAAATTCGTGGGCAAGGCACAAAATTTCGTGGGCAAAGGCACAAATATTCGTGGGCAAGGCACAAAATTCGTGGGCAAGGCACAAAAATTCGCAGGCAAGGCACATTTTGAGGCTTCAAGCCTTGCCCAAGGGCCAAAACTCCGAAACGTGCCTTGCACGTCTTGCCACGAACTTTTGTGGGGGGGGTAGGGGAGGGGCGGGGGGGGGCGGGGGGGGGTGGGGGGGGGGGGGGGGGGTGGGGGGGGGTGGGGGGGGGGGGGGGTGTGGGGGGGGGGTGGGGGGGGGTGGGGGGGGGTGGGGGAGGAGGGTGGGTGCCTTGCCCACGAATTTTTGTGCCTTGAATTTTTGTGCCTTGCCCACGAATTTTTGTGCCTTGCCCACGAATTTTTGTGCCTTGCCCGAATTTTTGTGCCTTGCCCACCAATTTTTGTGCCTTGCCCACCAATTTTTGTGCCTTGCCCACGAATTTTTGTGCCTTGCCCACGAATTTTTGTGCCTTGCCCACGAATTTTGGTGCCTTGCCCACGAATTTTTGTGCCTTGCCACCAATTTACGTGCCCGAAAATTGGTGGGCAAGGCACAAAATTTCGTGGGCAAAGGCACAAATATTCGTGGGCAAGGCACAAAATTCGTGGACAAGGCACAAAAATTCGTGGGCAAGGCACATTTTGGGGTTTTAAGCCTTGCCCAAGGGCCCAAAAATCCGAAATGTGCCTTGTCCACGAATTTTTGTGCCTTGTCCACGAATTTTTGTGCCTTGCCCACGAATTTTTGTGCCTTGCCCACGAATATTTGTGCCTTCGTCCACGAAACCCATTAGGGTTTATATATATATAGAAAGAGAGGTTTAGGGTTTAGGGTGCATCTCATAATATGGGTACCCTTTTTGGGGGTTAGTTGCCGGAAAGGGAACCTTGAACCCCAAAAAACGGGAAAAGGGTACCACTGGGCTACGTACCAAGATCACTGACCCAGTATCCATCTCATACCCTTTTTTGGGTTCGTTATCGTATAAGGGAACCTTGAACCAAAAAAAGGGCCCTAAACCCTAACCCTAAACCCTAAACCCTAAACCCTAAACCCTAAACCCTAAACCCTAGACCCTAAACCCTGTACCAAAGAAGATGACAGACCGAGCCGCCGTGATGCAAAATCCGGGCGGCACCTTCCGGACCTGCAGCTGCGTGCCATGCGCCAAGGTGATGATCTCGCGCCTGGGCCCGCGGAAGATAGCCCTAAACCCTAAACCCTAAACCCTAAATCCTAAACCCTAAACCCTAAACCCCAAACCCCAAACCCCAAACCCTAAACCCTAAACCCTAAACCCTAAGCCCTACGCACTAAAACCCTAACCCCCGCCCCCTCCCTCCCCCCCCCCCCAAACCGTAAACCCTAAACTCACAAAGCTTCAAGGACTCTGGCTCACCGATGCGCACGGAGGCAACAAGGCTCCCATTACTTGGGTCCATCCACTGTCTGACATCTTCAAATCTTCAAGCCATTCAGGGTTTAGGGTTTAGGGTTCAAGGGTTTAAGGGTTTAAGGGTTTAAGGGTTTAAGGGTTTAGGGTTTAGGGTTTAGGGGTTTAGGGGTTTAGGGTTTAGGGTATTCCCATGCCCTAGTTGACCCTGATCAACAAGCCCTTCTAGCCAGTCTGAGTCTCAAGTATACTGGTGAGGCCTAAACAACTAGAATAGGGTTTTGGGGGCTATACAAGTATAGTTCTACAGGGACCATATGGGAATACGACTAGTACGTACGCCGGCCCCTATATTACAAGGATTATAAGGGGGCTTCCGTATTTTGACAGTGGCCCATGGGGGGGCCACGCGAAACTTGAAACCTTTAATTAGGGTTTAGGGTTTAGGGTTTAGGGTTTAGGGTTTAGGGTTTAGGGTTTAGGGTTTAGGGTTTAGGGTTTAGGGTTTAGGGTTTAGGGGTTAGGGTTTTACCCCTGCCATAGGTTGCTTCTGAACCCTGTGCCAGGCGACTTCTGGCCGGCAAAGCCCATCTTCCCAAACTCCGATCCCAGGCTGACCTCTCATCGCAAGAGTAAGAGGCTCGACAAAGAGGGCCTCGAAAGCCCTAAACCCAAAACCCAAAACCCTAAACCCTAAACCCCAAAAAATGGTTTCTGGGCCCTGTGTGTCGGACCTGTTCTACAGATGGCACGGGAAGGGAGCCCCGAAGCGCTTATCAGTCTTCAACGAGGCACCGGATGGCTTGCAGGGTCTTCGTCAGGAATTCGGGAAGTGGGTGCGCCCTATAAAAGCCCTTAGAGGGGAAATAAGCAACTGACGTACAACCTTATAGACGTACACACATATATACGTACATACATATATATCTGGAAGCATGTATATATATATATATAATGTGTGTATATAATATATATATATATATATATATCGCATCAAGCAGGATCACTGCCACCGGTTCAAGCGGAGGCCAGGCTAGGAGGTGCTCGACAGGCCCAAGCACAGGCCAGGCATGAGCGGACGGTATATACTTATATACTTCTATACTTATAAACGTATAAACTTATATACTTATATACGTACATATATATATATATTTATTTATTTACATATATATATATATATATATATGCATGCATGTATATATGTATGTATATATATATATATACATGTATATATATATATATATATGTATATATATATAGAGGGCGTTATACGGGGCACTTCATTCCCTAGTTCCCAACGACACAGTCGAATCTTGGAGATGAAGCGACTTGGTGCTTGTGAGCAAGCCTGGGAGGGTTTAAGGGTTTAGGGTTTAGGGTTTTAGGGTTTAGGGTTTCGGGTTAGGGTTTAGGGTTTAGGGTTTAGGGTTTAGGGTTCAGGGTTCACCACAAACCACGGGTGGGGGGAGTGGCCTACATCAAGCGAGAGGCCCAGCCGACCAGCATGCACAATCCTTTTAAACTCAAACCCTACCCCAAACCCCAAACCCCAAACCCCAAACCCCAAACCCCAAACCCCAAACCCCAAACCCCAAATCCCAAACCCCAAACCCCAAACCGCAAACCCCACCCTAAACGCTAAATCCTAAACCCCAAACCCTGAATCCCAACCCAGGCAGCCCTAGAACCAGTGTGGCAATAGGCGCCAGGTGGGATTCCAGCCAATGGGGTGCTGCGCCAAAAAAACTCCTAAAACCCTAAGCCCCGAACCTTAGAGACCTTAAACTCTACACCCTAAACCCCAAACCCCAAACCCTAAACCCTACACCCTAAACCCTAAACCCCAAACCCTAAACCTTGCATTGGCCTGGAGGTTGGAACGAAGAGGGCGCCACAACTGCGAGCGCTGGCCTGGGGCTAAGATTTGGAGCCTACCAGGTGCTACTCGGGATTCGATGGTCGAGGTTAGGCTTTAGGGTTGAGGTTTGTAGGGTTTATCGGTTTTATAATTGGGGGTTTAGCGGTTTTACAGTTTACAGGGTTTATAGGACTTGAAGTTTTGGGGTGCCCTACATGTGGCAATTTGCAAGGAACCAAAACCTAAACCCTAAACACGATGCATCCTGGTCTACGGGGGCCCTAAACCCTAAACCTAAACCCTAAACCCTAAACCCTAAACCCGAAACCCTTAACCCAAAACCCTAAACCCTAATCTATGCGGGCAGCGGTTCGCGGCTCTGGTTCGGTAGTGGTTGGATGACCAACAGCCCGAAAACCCTAAAACCCTTAAGACCCTCACACCCTCAAACCTGGAACCCTAAAACCCTAAACCCGAAACCCGAAACCCTAAACCCGAAACCCTGAACCCTAAATCCTAAACCCTGAACCCTAAACATAAAAGTCCTGAAGCCCGAAACATGAAACCCTGAAACCCTGAAACCCAAACATTAAAAACAACTTGCTGAAACCCTGAAACTCTAAAGAAGGATACCCGAACACCCTCAAACCTAGAACCCTAAACCCTAAACCATGAAAACCCTGAAGCCCTGAAACTCTAGGACTACTATTTGCTTAAGAACCCTCCAAAACTGAAACATAATAAGCCCCATATTACCCTTATAAGGAAGAATATCTTTACCTTTTACCCTAAACCCTAAACCCTAAACCCTAAACCCTAAATCCTAAACCCTAAACCCTACGAACCCTTTGGGTCTTTAAGCAATTCGCAGAAGAAGGACTCCGACCTGCAGCTATACTCCCCTTAGAACCTTAATAAACAGAATATTTTTGACATCCTCTTGGGTTTTGTAGGGTTTAGGGTTTAGGGTCTAGGGTTTAGGGTTTAGGGTTTAGGGTTTAGGGTTTAGGGTATTCCCAAGAGGGATACAGTAAGAAGGACTACGACCTCCAGACGGGACCGGGGCACGGCACTCGCCCAGGCGTGGGTGCGCCGTCTTGGACATGAAGCCGCTGGTGGAGTGGCTCTTGGAATCCAGCCACCTCGCGAGCTTTCAATGGCTGTGTGGGTTTAGGGTTTAGGGTTTAGGGTTTAGGGTTTAGGGTTTAGGGTTTAGGGTTTAGGGTTTAGGGTTTACTTTTTAGGGTTTACTTTGCTTAAGAACCCCCAACAAAAGGAAAAAGTAGATCGTCCCCACACTACCCTCCTAGGGGAAGAATCTCTCTATTTTTTGGGGGGGCCTCTTAAGCAAACAGTAGTGAAGGGCATGGGCTGCGGATCACGCACTACGGGCATGGGCTGAAATGTGGATGTGCTGCGTGCTCCCTAGAACGCTACACCCTAAAGGGTTTAGGGTTTAGGGTTTAGGGTTTAGGGTTTAAGGTTTAGGGTTTAGGGCTGGCTCCCTCTCTCTCGATCTCTGGCTCTCTCTCTCTCTCTCTGGCGCGCTCTCTCTCTCTCTCTCTGCCTCTTTCACGCCAAGACACAGCAGTAACCAACACAACCACACATCAAGCAAAGACACCTCCAAAGCAAAACAACCACACGTTAAGCCCGGGCGCACCAAGAAAGCGAAATAACTACACATTTAGCTCAGATGCACAAATAAGCAAAATAACCACAGAACTCCTCAAGCTTTAGGAACTTTAGGAACTTTAGGAACTTTAGGAACCTTAGGAACTTTAGGAACCTTAGGAACTTTAGGAACTTTAGGAATTGGAAGACTGTCGGCCCTACTGAACTCCCAGAAAGTTTCTGAAAGCCAGGCGCTGAGGCTTCAACCTTCCTACAGTTCCCAAAAGCTTTTGGATTGTAAGGAATTTCGGCTTAGGCCGTTAGGGTTGGGCTTTTGTGGTTTAGGTCTCGGGAGTAGGGTTTAGGGTAGAGGGTTTAGGGTTTCGGGTCATGGTCAAGGAACCCCCCCCCCCCCCCCCATGGTGTGGCTGTGGGGCGGTTGTAAGGGTTAGGGTTTAAGGGCTTCTGTTTCAGGGCTCAAGGCTTTTCGCGCATTGAGGCTTGCATTATGGCTTCAGGGCTTGGAGTTTTCGGGCTTCGGCTTTAGGGGCTCACAGGGTTCTGCCGCACTCCTGACCATATGCGTGTAATTACATAGGTGCATAACATATGATGAAAAAAACAACATGTATGTGTATATATATATATGTATAGAAATATACATATATGTATGTATGTATATATATATATATATATCTGTATATATTAGTATATATGTCTACTCTCTAGGTAGAAGCACAAAGGCCACACGCAGGGCTCCAGCCTTTGAGCCATGAAGTCCGACAGCCGCGGTCCAATGCCAAAGCCTGCGCGGTCGGGGAGCTTACAGGGGAGCTCTTGCCTTGGAGCTCACCAAAAACCCTAAACCCTAAACCCTAAACCCTAAACCCTAAACCCTAAACCCGAAACCCTAAACCCTAAACCCTAAACCCCAAACCCTAAACCCTAAACCCTAAACCCTAACCCTAAACCCTAAACTCTACGCCTCACACACACACACACAAGTACATGTAGAAGCTGAAGATGACGGAGGGCTACGATCTCACAACCGTCCACCAGACATCAGCTGTCCAGACTCGGTCGCCGATGTTCACCCAAAGGGTTTAGGGCTTAGGGCGCTGATTTCAATCTAAACCCTAAACCCTAAACCCTAAACCCTAAACGCCAAACCCCAAACCCTGAACCCTGAACCCTGAACCCTAAACCCTAAACCCTGAACCCTGAACCCTGAACCCTAAACCCTAAACCCTAAAACCTAAACCCTAAACCCTAAACCCTAAACCCTAAAACTCTAAACCCTAAACCCTACCATGCGGGGCTGCAGAGCCAGGTGCAGGAGGCCAAGTCACGAGGCAGGCGATGCTTACCAAAGTCCGTTCCTGAAAGTTCCAAGCCTTTGTGTCACTACCTTAAGGATTTAAAGGTTTTGAGGGTTTAGGGTTTAGGGTGGTCCAGACGGCGTTTAAGTTGAAAAGGTACGCCGCCACTCCCTCAACTGTGTCTCCCCGCAACGCCTCTCATCCCCTTGCGCCGTGGTGTTTGGGGGAGGTCTTAGGGTTTAGGGTTTAGGGTTTAGGGTTTGGTGTTTGGGGGAGATCTTTCGCAGCGGAGAGACGATGGAAGTTTGTGGTTTGTGTGCTTCATGCAGGCCATTTCCTCGACAACGTGCCCTGTGACTTCCATGTCTCAACCCCACCCGCAAGTTGAAACGCGCAGCAACATGCGGCAGAGTAGGCGCTCATAGAGAGATAAACAGACTTTATGAAAACATGGCACAAAGGGTAGACTTCAAGATAAGACGTCAGAATTAGGACACGACAAGGTTGCAGAGGTCTAGCCTTGCAAGTAACCAAAGACCCCATACACCCCATAAACCCTACTTGGAGTTTCATGGTACTTCTTAACCAACTATAAATGTGCTTATAACCCACTGAAAAGCCCCTGAAGTGCCCCTACTATGGATATAAGTACAGCTATTGAGTACAGATACAACTGGTTACTCAAGTACCATGAGCCTCCAAACCCTAAACCCTAAACCCTAAACCCTAAACCCTAAACCCTAAACCCTAAACCCTAAACCCTAAACCCTAAACCCTAAACCCCTGAACGAACTTCGGAACGAGCCTTGGAACTCGGGCCGTACAACCAGGCGATGCTCACGGACGAATGTCTTCCTTGGAGGCAATCCCTTTCACGGTTGAATAAGGGTTTAGGGTTTAGGGTTTAATTAGGGGGGGTAGTTGAGGCGCCGAGCCCTTCAAGGGTTGGCAGAGGGGCGAAATTTAAGGTATCCGATTTACTCGCAAAGGCAGGTTCAAACGCAAGTCCACCAAGTTGAAGGTTTGCACAGGGGACCCAAAACCCTAAACCCTAAACCCTAAACCCTAAACCCTAAGCCCTAAACCCTAAACCCTAAACCCGAATCCCCAAGTCCTAACTCCTACTTCTGACAGACATAACATGAAACCCTCAATCCCGGAAATTAACGGGATCCTATGTTGGGCACCGGATTCCGTTTTAAAAAACATCCAAACAACTTAGCTACTTTTCCTGAGTATATGTGCATTTTTGGGGGGTTCTTAAGTAGACAATACCTGCACCGTTCGAGGCAGGCTCGGTCCTCTCTGTACGACAGACATGTCATCAGAGCTCTGCAATGAATGAGTTTGGTGTTAGGTTTATCGTGTCTGATTAGGGTTTAGGGTTTAGGGTTTAGGGCTTAGGGCTTAGGGTTTAGGGTTTAGGGTTTAGGGTTTAGGGTTTAGGGTTTAGGGTTTAGGGGTGTAGGTTGGGGTTTTACAGCAACGTGCTCCACTACGACCACAAGCAAGCTTGAAAGCAAAGAGTCCTTCCCGGCTGCATGCTGGATGCATGAAAAGCCGCCATTGCGCCTCAGCGCCAGAGCCCGTGTTACACGATGAAGGGTTTAGGGTTTAGGGTTTAGGGTTTAGGGTTTAGGGCCTAAACCTAAACCCTAAACCCTAAACCCTAAACCCTAAACCCTAAACCCTAAACCTTAAACCCTAAACCCTAAACCCTAAACCCTAAACCCTAAACCCTAAGCAGCCCACAAGCCTGGACTCCAAGCAGGCCTTCATGCAGGGCGATGAAGGCTAAGTTCTGCAGGCCAGCGAGGGAGCCGGCAAGGTAATGGTGGTCCTAATGCTTAGTGTTTAGGGTTTAGGGTTTAGGGCTCAGGGTTTAGGGTTTAGGGCTGAGGGTTTGGGGTTTGGGGTTTTGGGTTTTGGGGTTTAGGGCTCAGGGTTTAGGGTTTAGGGTGTAGGGCCTGCATGTCATCATGAACCAACTTCAGTAGGAATTTCGGAGCTGGAAATTCTCTGAAGGAATGTTCATGAACAAACCTCCTACGTCCTACGACCTGAGCAATCGGGTGGCACAGGACTGGCACGGCGGACAAGCTCCAACAAAGGAACACCAATACAACTCACGCGTAGGTTGTATCATCTTACCGTATACTGCTTTACATTATGCTCCATTGCATTATATAACATTAACCTGCAGAATACTACATTAGACTGCATTATGCAAAAACATGATACTAAAATTTAAAAATACAGCGAACTGAGACCACCAAAGGGGGGGGGGGGGTTGTGTTGTCCTTGAAGTGTCGCTTCCAAACGGTCTGGACGGACGAGTGCTCGACCAAGTGGACCTGAAAACAGGTTTAGGGTTTAGGGTTAGGGTTAGGGTTTAGGGTTTAGGGTTTGGGGTTTGGGGTTTGGGGTTTGGGGTTTGGGGTTTGGGGTTTGGGGTTTGGGGTTTGGGGTTTGGGGTTTGGGGTTTGGGGTTTGGGGTCTAGGGTTAGGGCTTAGGGTGTAATTCGGGTTTACGATTTAGGCAAATCCCTGCCAGGGGAAGCCACAACCAGCACTCCGGAGGATATACTTGCTGGCGAGGCTAAGGAGAAGCAGACCCGCAACAGTCGCAAACGGCTTTTAAGGCGTAAGGGTTAGGATTTAGGATTAGGGTTTAGGGTTTGGGGTTTAGGGTTTGGGGTTGAGGTTTATTTGCGGTATCCAAGAGCAGGCATCTCACTCCACTGGGCAGACTTGACTCCATGGGTTCCCACCGCGGGTCGATCTTTGAGCGTTGGCTGCCAGGATTCGGCGAGGTGGTAGACGGCTCCCTAAACCCTAAACCCTAAACCTAAACCCTAAACCCTAGACCCTAAACCCTAAACCCTAAACCCGTGTCCTGCAGGCCCGTCTCATCCAAGAGGAGCATGGCATTGTGCCCTTGAGTTGCGGGGATTGGAACACCACAAGACCGTTCTGGCCAAAGGCGACCTTCAACTCAAATCTGACCTCGTCCTGGTGGAGTAGAGCATCCACCAGGGTTTAGGGCTTAGGGCTTAGGGTTTTGGGTTTAGGGTTTAGGGTTAGGGTTACGCGATTCTTAGAGGTCAGGAGAGGTTGTAGCTGGGGTTCTGCACTTGGCGGTGCAAAGGCTCAATGTGATGAGCTGGAACATGCGGTTTAGGGTTTAGGGTTTAGGGTTTCGGGTTTGGGGGGTTAGGGTTTAGTGTGAGGGGCTTCGGACAGAAGCCATTTTACAGGCTCTTCAATGACTCAAGGAAGACAGCACTTTCACGGCCCACCGATTCAATGAGGTTCCGGAGTTTAGAGTTCAGGGCTGTTTAGGGTTCAGGGAGCTTAGGGTTTAGGGAGTTTAGGGTTTAAGGAGTTTAGGGTTTAGGGTTTAGGGTGAGGTTCTGGAGTTTTCTGCATAGGGTTGTTTAGGGCTCATGAGCTTCCGAAACTCGCAATGTGCAACAGTCTATCTGCAAAAGCAGACGGCCTCGGGTTGCTTAGGGTTTCGGGATTTTCTTGCAAAGGTCCTCGAACAAAATCTGGCCTTAAGCGTGAGCTCTGGGACTCCCCAATCCTTGGTCAGCAAGAGATTCTCATCATGGTTTAGGGTTTAGGGTTTAGGGTTTGGGGTTTAGGGTTTAGGGTTCTTGTCTCACAG